ATTTGCAACCTCGATTGGACTTTCCTCTTCTTACAATCTGCCAATGACACTTTCCCTGTTTCTGGCACTAAGCAACTCATTTAGTTTGGGCGAAAAATGCATAACAACCCGTCAATTTATGATATATCTAAGGGTGAACACTGCTCGAAAAAAGAAAAATCGTTTGCACTAGATAATACGAGAAACATATTATGAAGACCACAGGGGGGAAACGACGGTAGTCACACACTGGAAATTGTGAGGGTGCGGATTTTAAAAGCTTGTGGACTCATAACTTCATATTCGTTTGACTGATTGTTTATGTTAAATGTTGTTGAATGGTAAATCGAACAATAATAATCTACTAACAGTTGAACAGAAATTCAGTTATGGGTCAGCAAGCATTCAAAATTGGTACCCTCACGATTTTCAGTGTGTGACTACCGTCGTTTTTTCCCTGTAGTCTTCATATGTTTTGTTTTAACGCCACATTGTAACGCCATTTTTTTTGTTGTGGGCACTTCTCGTTATGTGACACGTCCTCAACAATGCTAAATCGGAGAGACTCGGGTGCTTTCCATTCTTAATGCTTTTTGGGCTCTCTGACACATCGTACAATGAGGCGATCCATAACTTGCATTTCTTTTGTTGATGAGAATACTTGTCAGTAAAACTTACTGAACTGAAGGAGCTTCGGCATCTTTATTCCCAAGGAGCTTGGACAGAAAGTTATCGAGGAGTCCTTAATTTGTTTTTCACTTCTGAAGAAAAATAATACATTGGAAGAGGGAAAACAAAATTTCATGTAATATTTTACCAATTCCTCAAGCACACACGAAAACCGAATTTCAACCTGTAATCACGCCGCTTGTACAAATGAGTGAACTCAATTTTGGCAGGAAACTAAATATCGAAATGTTGTTGGACGTGAGGAAAGCTAAGAGGAGCGAGTTGAGCTGAGATTGTGTCTGTTTGGCGTTCTGTTGCACGTGTGTTTGTCAGAAGGGGTGGGGTGGGACAGACTGACATGTGGACAGACGGACAGACAGGGAAAGAAAGAAAGGATGAAAGAGAAAAAGAAAGACGGAGACAGACAGACAGACAGACAGACAGACAGACAGACTAACAGACAGACAGACAGACAGA